GGAAAGAAAGATGTAATTTGAGTGCTCAATAAATCAGAGTTGTCTGCACATATTTAAAATAAATGAGTTGTTAGGTTCATTTTCCAAAGACATCTGTCTCGTGCCATTTTAGGCAACCTACATGGTTTCCTGTAGCTTCTTTAGAAGGTCACAGCTCTTCCAGATCTCCAGTGTTGCTGTGTGCTGGCCCTGTGCAGGTTCCTCTGACAACCTAGCTTGTCTACAATGGCACTGGGTGTTATATTTAGTCAACTGAGTCTCAACAAATAATTACAAAAAAAGGTCTGTAAGCAATGCTAAAATACGCAATATTTGTAGGAGTAAGTGTCTTAGTTCCCTTGAAGCAATGAGCCCACAGCTGATGCAGCCGCTGTCTCCAAAAGAAGTCGCCGAGTCAAAATGGCCAAGTGTAGAGAAAGATGATAATAAATTGAGGTAGTGTTTTATTTAGGGACAGGAGGATATCATGATCCAGGGATGTCATCCTCAACTCACATTGATCAACTGTTCCTAGCAGTAATGAAAATATTTTGTATCCAAATTATGCTGTGATGAGATATTGTATGGTTTAAAATACATTCTGATCTGCCAGAAACAAATGTTCAGGATGGCCCCACCACAAAATTTTGCTCTGAATCTACACAAGCTACATATGTTGTAGAAGAACTACTTTAGAAATGGTTCGCTAAACGTGGCAAATGCAAGTGCTGTAGATTTTAGATGGAAATGCTCAGTAACATCTGTTGCTGATGGGTGTAGTGAGTGTTCTTGAAGGTGGATAGCTGAAAATGATACAGTGTGATGCAAAGAAGCCAAGAAACGTACACTTCTATTCGCCTTCCAACCATCGCATAGTCTTTATTAAGCAGAATATTAAATTAAATCTGAACAGCATTTATCTCCTAAAATTCAATTTTTCTGAGCATACGTCAGATAAAGTCCATTCCATCTTCTGTCTGACTTTTAGCTGCTTGCTAATGCAGTATCTATTGCGAACTGCATGTGGTAGGAAAAAAATGACGGGATACTCATCTGGATTCAGAGTAAGGCATCCAAAATAAATTTGAGGAAAATGACCTTAATTCAGCAAAGTGCTTTAGCTCTAAGCATGCAAATAGCCAATGAATCACATGCTTAAAGTAAGATTCACGTATGTGCTTCTTGCTAAATTAGGCATAAATTATGTCTCCATATCAAATGGCAGCAAAAGCCCAGTAAAAAGACAAACCAAAAAAACCACAAAGAAAAGATAACCATGAAAGCTTTGGTTCAGAAGCAATGCTTTCTTAGATGTAATACAATCCACGTAAGGTCTCGTTTGTTTTTACTCAGTCACTTTATTATTTATTGCTCAGTATCAAAAGGAATCAAACGGACATTGATTAAAGGCCATTGTGAATTGTAGGTAATATTCATATAACTCTTTGAATAGTATGATGCACATTGTAGGGATAAATTGAAATTATAGAAGACTGAAATAGGAGGGAATCACAGTATGATGCAATCATGTAAACAACAGCACATATGTATAGATCAATACAGATTTCCTTTGCCCACTTGACAGGCCTGATCAAAAGCAGCAAATATTTTAATTCTAACAAACACTGGAGTTTTTCATTTGAACAGGTGAATATAAAAAAAAAATAATCTTATAAAGCAGAGTGGATTAATATGTCTCTACTGCTTTTCCTCTTGATCTTTAAGGCTTATCAGAATCCTCTGTCCTCCCACTGAGTTTATTGGTTGCTTAGGAAAATGAGCTGAGCAAATGTTCATTGTCTGCATTTTAAAAAACCCATTTATAAATTGCTGATATTCCCACAGAAGATATGAAATCAGATACTTTTGATCAGCCAGAAAGAAACTAATAATTGGTATAGACCACTTATGTTATGAAGGACCACGTTTCAGCAGTTGACACCCCTGCAGCTTCCCCCTCTGCAATTAAGTGATACGTAAGAGCTGTAAAATGGGTTTCTCAGAGGTTGAAGACTGACCTGCTCTGTGAACTTCTGGTCATGCATACAGTTGCGCTGGATTTCATAAGGCTTTGTGTAAGGTCAGCTATTCAAATAGGGCAACCCAACTATGAGACCTGGGCTGTGCAACACAGATTCAAACTTCCTCAGTATATGGAAGCGGAACTGGTAGCTTGCTTTTAGAAATAGTGTCAACTTTGCAAAGGCCTATACTAACCTAGTAGAATCTGAATTTCTTCTTGTAGTGTCAGGATTTAGGTCATCAACTTGGGGTTAATTGCAGTAAAGACTGGCATTCAGTCTCAAGCTGGGCAAATATGGCCTGAATTCAGCAGGGAGCTCTGAGATAGGATTTAATTTCTACGTCATAATACATGCTAAGCTGTTTAAGTGTATTTGGTGCAATTACATCCAATTAAATACTTGGAAATTAGGTTCCCTGTCTTTAAATATCATAAGGCCTCTGCTCTACAAGAGGATTGGCAGTGGCTGACATATATAATTTGGTCAAGATCTACAGGTCCTGCAGCCTGCTCTCCGGGTACCAAAAGGTTCATATGCCCAAAACATATTTGAAGATGGAGGCTTACACGGACAAAAAAGATCTGATTGCACAGTCTCACTGGGATGGAGAAAATTTACAGGATGCTGACAGTGATTTATGCCAAATACACATGTCAATGTATTTACTGCTGACTCTGCAAAACTCCTATTTAGCAAATGAAGAAGACTCCTTTGGTGTGTGAACACAATGCTAAGACACTCAGTGCCTTTCTGTCATGAGTTCTGGATTTTGAGAATTACAGACTTCACCTCTACATGCAGTCTGTCCTTTCCTAGCATTTTTCAGTCTTCCAGGGAGTTAGTTAATTGTTTTATTTTTTTTTTATAAATAGGATTAATATATAAAATCTTTTAAGTGCAATAAACACAGAAAAATATAAAACGTTTCAAGCCTGTGGCTCTCTCCCAGCATTTCGCCCATTTTCTGTATCACCAGATAAAAGTGCAGGAAACACAGAGGGATGCTTCCAAGCAGGCTTGTGAATCGGAGGACCGGCTATTTTTGTGAGCTATGAGAGCAGCCATCACACCCGACGTACGCTGAGAGCTTTTGTTCGAATACAAAGAAAACAAAGGACACACAAGGTCGCTACTCTTTCATATGGGAAGATTGCACAGAAAGAGAAAGCTGCCGACTTCCAGGGCACAGTGCATTTCTCGGACTGACATTCACATGGTGCCTCCAAACTGCCTTGTTGTGAGACTAAACACTAGGATTAAACGCTTAAACTGATCGGTTGATACTGGGGACAAAACTGTAGAACCACAGCCACACTTTACTACAAGCATTGGACTGTAGTACGAGGACAGTTTGAATGGTATTTTCCCCCCTCCCCCCTAATTACACACTTCAAACAAGAAAGCAGTCCAACAGTTTTCTAAGACACAAGAACAGGACGTGGATTTAGTCCTTCAGAACAAGCTGTCTGTCTCCATCAGGGTCATGACAGCCATCTTGCACCAGAAATCAGCCCAGACTTTTTTTTCCTTACCTTATTCCTGTTAGTACCTAAGGACCTCTCATTTCCCTAGTGGTTTCTGACTATGTTTTCTTTCAATCATTCCACTTTTCTTATTTCTTAGTGTTGCTGTGGCAGTCGAAATGTCTTTTTCTTCTTGTAGTTGCAGTTTTCTCACTATTTCCCTGAACATCTGCAAGACAGCCCATCTGGGTTGACACAGTGTGAGATGAGGCAGACAGGCATTGCCAACAAAGGGCTCCTACTGCAGCAAGCGGGCTGTTGAAATCAGATGTTTTCTAAGACGTCTATGGGGACAAAGCCTTTCTTCTTCCCGCTGTATACTTTGATAAAGCCATCGTGTTCCTTTTCAGAAGTCACACAAATCTGAATGCAAAGAAGGTATGAAAATAATAAACTCTTTGCCATGATCAAGCGACAAATTATTCCGGGCTATTTATCAGATGGGTTAGACATCCTGCTAGTTTCTTCTATAAGTAGAACAATCATTTTTAGACTCTCACTGCTTCGATAAGAAACTCAAACTCATATATTTAGAGAATTACCTTTCTCCCCTGCCTTCTTGACCTGCCACGTATACGTGACAGACATTAAAATTGTTAAGAACTTTGTAGTGGATCAAAGATTTTGAAACTTGACTTATGACTTCAGCCTACTGTAATGGTTGTGATTGTGTATGAGAGGATTGGGTATTTCTGATCATGAGCTCCCTCAACAGTTGGTGGTGAAAAGTGATCACGATGCCAAGGTGGGTCACTCGTAGCAGCTGATCTGAATGCAAGCATATTCTCTTTTGCATGTTTAAGGAGCCCAGGTACTTCTCAGATGGGCAGTGAGTGATGTTGTTTACTCAGTTCTTACACCTACAGGTGCCTGTGCTTATTGTGGATACCAAAGTATCTGAACCCAGCTCTGTGAGTGTGTTTGCATAACACATGCTCCAAATGGAGGCAATTATGGTGAAACCATATGGTCTTTACAACAGTACAAATACTACATCATGGTAAAGGCTGGCATTTCCTGAATGCCTTTGTGATCTCAGGTATTTCCATTTTAGGGCCCATCCTGAGATACTTTTGGTAATGTCTGAGCCATTTGAAAGCCTAGTGGCATGGGGACTTTATACTGGGCACTTGAGCACAGGGCCACACAAAATAAAGAATTGTTTTCAGACATCTGTGCCAAGGAACTGTGTATTTCCTACTAATCAAACAAGGTTAAAAAAACAGCCATAAAGCTGATGGGCCTGTTGAGACCAACTCACTGATTTCCCATGTCAGTGCCAGCTATTTAAAGCCCTCTGTCTGGACTAACACTCACAAAGGCTCTGTCTGAAAAGTATTTACAGTGTTTAATTACAATAATTCAGAGGGTATGAAATAAACAAAAATGGCTCGAAAATGTTCCTGGCTAAATGCGTTTCAGCATGACGGTTATGGATTGTATGGTGACACATAAATATCGCATCTGAATGCTGGGCCAGCTTGTCCTCCTGTTGTTACATACATAAAATTTACTAGCCACACTGATACTGCCAGAGGGAAATGAAAGGTCGTAAGTAGGAGGTGAAGCTGCTTCACATTTACCACCTCCAGTATTTGGAGGTGGTCAGGTGCATCTCTGTACCTGCAAACAAAGGTTTAGAAAGCAAATTGACTCATTCATTTTCTTACTTAAACTACCCGCTTAACACTAACTGAATTGGATCCCTGGGGCAGAATGACTGAGCACACCAGAAGAGTTGACATGCAATTAAAAAAAAAATATATTGTTGTTTGGGCTAAATCACACAGAAAGCGTGGGAGAGGTATGGAATTGATGCCGTTTAGTTTAGGTACCATTGGAAAAGAGCCAAGCTCATTTGTGTCATGAATCCCTAGCAGAGCAGCTGCTCCCTCTCCAGCCACATCGCCGTTCGAAGCAGAGAGGAGAAAAGCACATGTACACAGAAAGGTGTTTCTGACTGCTGCTAGATGTTGGTCTGTGTCTCTGAGAAAGACTATGAAAACTTCAACAATAAGAGAAAAAGCCTACAAAGAAGCACCAGGCTAAGCATGGCCGAGTATGGCAGAGTATCCAGGAGTAGGAAGGAGCACCTTTGTTGAAAGATGCCCCTTCTTGGTTGATCACTGCTGCTGTGTGGGAAAATGAGCCTTTGCAGCCTCTCTATAAATAGACCTGTCTGGTTAAAAGGAATCCCTGACTCTGTCACTGTGCTTTCCTCTTAACTAAAGATGTCTGCAAGACCTCTAGCTTTTTGCATGGGCCAAAGAGACCCCAAAAGTAGTCAGATCTCCAGAAGGGACCTGCAGCAGGACTGCACTGGTCACCAGCCATGCTGCATTTCTTGATTAACCTCTGGTGCTGTGCAGAATATATTGCAAGAACAGAGTACTTTTCCCTGATGTCTTGTACTGTCAGCAGAACGATTTGTGGACAAAAGAAAAACACTGAACTTTCTGAATACTGGTTTTCTTTATCTTCATAGTGAAAAAGGATGGCAGATTTGGTCTTTTTTTAGGGTTTTTTTGGTTCTGCTGCTGGTTTGAGTGTTCCTTGATATCAGTGGGAGTGCTCTGCTACAGCAATGGTTTTAGATCTTCACTGGGCATGAGGAGTACAGGGCCTTTCTGCAAGAACTTCTCTCACTCTGCGTACTAATACATTACTCTGAATTCCCCCAAATGCCAGCTGCAATTCTCTTACACTAACACACTAAGCCTTGCATGTGCTGGCCCCTGGCTAGCAGTTTTTTCCCCACTGTTTCTGAAGGAAGGGGATGTGTTGGGTGCAGAATGAGCTTGGCCACAATATGCCACACTTTCCTAATCCTGTGCAGCTCAGGAGGTCCCCTGGGGCTGTGGCAGCTGCTGGAACTTTGCAAAGCCCTAGAGCTACTCCAAATCCTGAAGTTTTGGAAGAGAGGGAACACAAAACCATCTTTGGCCACTTCTGTCCTCATCCCCTTTTGTGAGTGCTGCCAAGTATTTCACCCACAAGTTGTAGCCTTGGGATTTAGCTCTTGACCTTCTTAGGTGGGTGTAAATCGGTTGTAACCCCAGGTAAGTGCATGGTGGTATCCAGAATTTAGATTCCACCTGATGAATCAGGTGGCACTGAGGACCAGCCCTGGTGACAGATGGCAAACGATGTTGTGAAGGCACAAGGTGCCATGGCTACCATCATGTGCTCATGGTTTGCTGTATCAGATTGTAAACTGCTTAAGATGGCACCTACTTGGGCTAGCATGTTTTGGGGGGAAGGCTGCTGGCTTGACAAGGTAAGTGAGCCACTGAGAAGCCACTCTCCAGTGAATTTGGTAGCCATACAAATGGAGACAAACAGTTGTTTCTTTTTTTTCCTGCACCCTGGCTCAAGAGGTTACTAGTGGAGTAAGCCACAGGATAAGAAACCACATCTCAGGCTATTTCTTAGTCATCAAGTGATCTTCAGAACTAGCTGAAGGTGGGATCTCATATTATAAAGTCACTTCCCCATTCTTTCATCTCATTTTGTTTAAAAAATCAAAACAACACTAAAAATAAAACAAGCAACTGTTAGGATCATGACTGTTGTCTGAACTTGTCAACATCTGCTCTCAGCATTTTTTTATCCATCCGTCAGCCCCAAGCAGATGGGGGAGATAAGCAATTAGGAAATGATCCTTTAAGCTGCATATTCATTAGTACACTCCTGTTCTTCTAAGTCCTGTGCTTTGAATTTGGGCTCAAGTGGCAAATTCTCTTTGTCCAGGAGTAACTTTGAACTTGCTCTGATTTTCTGCAGCTGTCTTTTGTGTATCTTCTCTCTCCATATATTTTACCCATCTGTCAGCCACAGACTGGTTCTGATGAAGTAGGAATCTGGTTATGAGGATAGTACAATTTCAAGAGCTGTCCTGGAGCCTGAAGACAGTGCTAGGTCAAGAGGTTTGACAGCTCAAGTCTTCTGTTTGTCTGTAAGGATGACAGCACAGGGACACTGTGAGTTTCTACATCTGCTGCTGCCTGCGCACTGAAGTTCTTGCCTACGTGAGCTCTGTAGATGAAAATGATGATAAGTAGTTCAGTTTTCATACCCATTTAACTATAGTGCAAATGATGATGACTGGCTTTATATCAGCTGCTTCATTAGCTTTTGGACTGAGAATGCCAGCTTATTTCACCTACAGCCCTTACTTAGGGTTTTAAAGATGACCTAGACTAAACTGGATGCATAATGGGCTGTGCCCATATTTTGGACTCTCACGAAACTTGTATGCCACTCAGTATCTCTGAATGAATGGGGACTCCCTTCCCTGTTCAGCAAGACTGACATCAATGAAAATCAGAAATAGCTGGAAAAAGACCCTTTCTCCCTTAAGCCTAGCTGTGACGTGCAACAGTTACAGCTGGGGGAGCACATGGAGAACTGCAACATCACTTTCTGCGCTGGTTTTGTGTTTTAAGTGATTCCATCTGAATGCATAAGTCACCATGATGCAACTGATTTTCAAAGGCATCTGAGTCACACTCGTAGAAGTTCAGCTCCTTTTAGAGTATTTCAGGATGAAAAATGTGGGGACATAAAGTAATTCCTAGGCAATGAGGTGAAAAGCCAGGTAGCAACAAAGCATCCAGGCTAATCAGAAGAAGACTCAAGACAGGTGGATCCCCTGGGGCTGGAGACTTGAGCTGCAATCCTGCCTTGTTAAGCCTAACCTCATGGATTTGTTTAAACCCATTGCCAGGCTCTTCTGGGGTGGTAGGATCAGATCAGCTAATGTGCATGTGCCTGAAAGTCACTGGTTTTGAAATTCGTGTGACTGGGTGTTGGGGTAGGAGGGAAGTTTGTCCCCTGAGCTGTGGTGCCAAGGAGACAGCAGGCTGACAGCCCTGATTTGGAGGTGGTGGCCATCACAACAGCAGTGGCCCATTTGCAGTCACCACAGCAGCTAGCTGGGAGATGCTTTTGGTTACAGGGCTAGTTTACATCAGTGACATTTATAAAACACATCCATTGCAAAATGAATCTGCTGCATTGACCTTTATGTAAACTCACAGTCCACATTTGGATGAGGCAGAGAGTTTCTGATTGCCAGTCTTGTTACAAATGTCATGGCTTGGGGTCATTTCTATTGCACAAGATCACTTGTGCAATTTAAGATCAATTGTGTTATTTAATCACAAAAAGCCCAACTCTAAAGTGGTTTGTATTAGTGTGACTGTAGACGTCAGAGAGGCTGCCAGTGAAGGGTGTGAGTAGGTTTTTCTTAAACTGGTTATTTCCTTTATTTAAGAAGGATATTATAAAAGGAGTAAAAACAGTAATTCAAAAAATAGATTATTATGTCTTCTTTAAAAATAAAGATGATCAAAAATGCTAGAGACATTTTAAGAGATGCTTTTCTAAGCATTGATGATAAATCAGGTATATCTTTTCAAAATGGTGACTTTTTCTTTTGTGAAAAGAGGTCAAATCAGAGCCTGTAGTCATGCAAAGAAGCATTTGTGTAATGTGTGGTAATGAATTCAGGTAGGCTAGAGCAGAAGTTATGGACTGGAGAAAACTTTATACATCCAAGTGATGGTACAATCAATCAGAGCTGGAAATTACGCAGACAGTATTGTGTGTGAGACAGCTTAAAAGAGTGGAAAGCCGCAGAAATTGTCTGGGTTTGGTTTCCCTGTTAATAATCTTCCTTTATTGATGTCAGGGACTAATTCTGCCTCCCTCCCACAGATTTCTGATTGAACCTTATGGTGCCCAGTTGTCTTCTGAATTTGTTTCAGGAACCACAAATCTGTCAGTAAACCCTAAACCCCAAACCCCAAGATATTGATGTCTCTGAAGCAGTACCCTTTTTTCTCCCCCAGGCTGGGTTTCATATTTCGTAATGAACTTTTCAAGGGACCCTTTGTGAAGACTAGCTCGTGTGTATTGCTCAAGATGGGTGAGCAAATTATGTTGGTTTTCCTTCAGTCCTCTCCTTGAGTATAGGCCTTGCCAGAAGGCTTTGCATGAAGCTGAAGATCAAAATGTTATTCCCAGGGCATGAAACTGGTGAGTGATTCCAGAGAAAACCTCACCCGCTGTGCTTCAAACTTTGAAAATATCTCTGCTTGCCTGGCTTTTCTTAAGGTATTCTCGTGGCTTTGTTGATGTGAATATATTGCCTTTTGCCTTACAAGAATAGACTCTCTACCTGGGATTATTCATATAAGGTACAAAGGGGATAGAAACCTGCAGTATAAACTGGGGATGGTATCAAGCAATACACTGAAAATTCATATTACTGTCACTGGATAAGTTTTCCTCTTGGCGTATCTTCCCTGCCTTCACTGTCAGAATGGCTCTGGACTCTTGTTAGACCCTGCAGAATTTGACTCAGTGAATTAACATTGTAAAATGGAGACAATTTGCCATACTGTAGTCGCAGGAATTTATTAGACCAGTTAATGAGTTTTTCTAGCTAAAGTGACAGGAATGGGTAGCAATGAATAATCTCCTCTTCTTGCTAATCTCAAACAAGCCAGTGCTTTGCACGTAGTACATATATTGTGCTCACAGCACTCTGGACACTGTGCCCAGAGACAGCTAAAATGGCTGGTTACATCCCACAGAAATCCCCAAATAGAATAAAAAATAATAATAATAAAAAAATAATTCTGATAAACTTTTCCCAGAAGTCCCATTCAGATGATTTTTTTCTTTTGATTTCCCTACTGCACCCTTCTCTCTGCTTCACATGGAAAACAATGGGGAAATAAAGGACAGAAAATAAGATAAATGTCTTTGGAAATTTAAAATAAATTTTTAAAGTAAAAAATTCCCAGTAAAAATTAAAATGTTTTTCACAATCAGACTTGCTCCACAGTGAAGGCAAAGTTGTTCTGCTAAAAAAAAAAGACAAAAAAATTGTGCCATTCAGGCAGTGATCTCCGTGTCCCACAGGCTGGGTTCAGGAGTCTTTGTGCTCCTGTCCCCATACTACTGCTACATGTTGGCTCTGTGCAGGCTGCCAGCTCCCACTGGGGGGCTACTATGGAGGGTTCAAATGCTGGATGGGAGTACAGGGGGAAACAGATGAGTGTCCATGGCCTCACTTGACTGTCCTGCCTGGAAATTACTTAAAATGGCCTTGAAGCTACTTGAAAGTCCTCTTTTTGCACAATTTGTGCTAAGGTGGAGTGGAATCTGTTGGCTCCATTCCTTTCTTCTCATGTCTCTGCATTCGCGTGTTTGTTCAGTCTGGTCTCTGCCCCCTGTTTTACACCAGTTATTTCTTTCTTTTGTCCTCTGAAGCCTCTCCCACATGGAGTGAGGACCCAAAAACATTCACATTTGCATAGGTTTGAGATAGGGCTGAATAAGTTTGCTAAAGAAGAGGAAGTAGTAGATAGATAGACAGAATGGATTCATCCCTTTCTTTACCTCCTGTGCTACCAGACACAGTGACGCGAGCTCCCTTGTGAACCTATTATGAAATAGGGACAATAGGAAGTCCTTGTATTTAGATGAAGCTGCCAGACCTGCCCACTTGGAAACCATGATTTTGTGAGAAATGTGGCAAGAAACTGGGCCCTCACTGTTTGCAGCAGTAACCACACTAACAGAGAGGATCTTGTATGCCCACTGCTGAGAAGGGACTCAGACCTTGACCAAATGGTCAAGGTCTTCGTACTGGCATGCGATATTTCCACACTACCATTTGCCCAAGCTTTGCCCTTGTGCATTGCTTATTCTAGAGCAGAAAGGGTGCAAAGCCTCTTGTTCTGCTTTGGTAATATTTTTCCTTCTATGTTCACATATGTAAACAATCAAAAGAGGTACTGTGTAAAAAAAAAAAAAAAAGCAAAACAAAAAGCAGCACTTGCTCTCTTTCTAGCAATTTCAGGGCTGCCCAATGTGCTATGTGCACAGGGGCAGTTAAAATACATTCTGGTCACTGTATTGCTGTGCCTTCCTTAAAAAGCTCTATATACCCAAGGATTGTTGGCATTTGTATGTTTTTGCTATGCCACAAGGCAGCAGCAGCAAAGGTACAAGTTAGTTAACCTTCTCATCCATCAGTGGAGTGAAGCATTACAGAAGTTCTGTGTGGAAAAACCTGTGGCCCTGATGTCTACCCTGATGCTGACTTCTGCTCTACTTTATTAAAATCAGTAGTTGTCCAAGGGACTGTAAGGCAAACAATTCCTGGTGATGTGACATCAATTGCCAAAGGAAAGGAAATACTCAATGAGGTGGAAGAACATTAGGCTTCACAAGATGCAGTGGAAAAAAAATCTAGCTTTCTACTTCATCCAGGTGTTAGAGAACCCAGGCTTAGTGAGTCATCCTCCTATTCACACGAGCTTATGCCACGAACCTGTCTCTTAATGTTGGTTTTGAGCCCTATTCTTCTCTCGCTTTACCTCAGCAAGCACTTAAATACCCCAGAATCACCAAACTTGACACATGGATGGAACAAACATGTGGTAAAAATTTAAAACCACGTTTAAATTCAGATCATAGACACATCCCATAATGGCAGCCATGGCTTTCACCTTGTGAACCCACCTGAATGACACAAAGTAGAAGGAGCTGTTGAAAGTACACCAGGGTGAATGGACCCTGCGAGTCTTCACTGTACGTGCTGTACTTGAACTCACAACAGCACTTCTAGTTTAGAATAAATTACAGCCTGTAGAGAGGGTGTGTAAGTGGCGACACAAGCAATTAATGATTAAAGATATTTTACAACTGGTGAATAAGAGTTAAATTTAAGATTCATGGGTTTGGTCCTGTCTTAACTCTGCTCCCACTGAAGCCAAAACAATGATCCGTGTTCAGATCTTTAGGGAAGGTAAGGTCTGGGGAGGGAGCCACTGTCTTTTATTAGATTAGCTCTAATAGTGAGGAGAAAACTGGACCATTTTTCAGGCACACAAGGTCTGTCTCTAAGAATGTGTTTTCTTCAGTCTGTCCCTTTGAAGTCAGTAGGAGAATGCGTAATATGTAAAGTATCTTTATGTATGAATCTGTGATGTCTGTGAGACTGAAAATTTAGACTGTTAGGCAGGGGGGATGTGTTTGCACAAGACCAACACTGTTCTTAACTGGCTACTAGACACTATTACCCTACAAATAATAACATTTGTAGTAAAACTGCACTGGACAGCACCTGCCTGTGCTCATCTTGCACAGTTTTTCCTCCAGTCATTGGTCAGACTGCTGGATGCTGAAGTCCAGTGGGGATCTGGCACAGGGGAACTTACCTGGTTCTCTTTCAGAGTTATCTGTCCCTGTTGCTTGCAGCCGATGAATGTCCTGATACACCTGTAAATCTTCTCATCATGTTGCACTCTCTGAACAAAGTTAGCAGGAAAAAATCCAGTTCTGTCATCAATTTTCCCCTGTGGAGAAAACATGTTGATAGAAGAGGGTTGTTAACACTAGAAGCTTTAATGCAAGTTCAGTATTGAAAATAATATATTTTTCCCTTTGGAAAGAAAACAGATAGATATAAAATAATTAGCACATACCTTCCACCAGTCTTCATTGGAGTCTTCCAGGAGAGTGATCATATCCCCTGGCCTGTAATTAGAAGAGGAATGGTAGCTAAGATGATTTTTAATTGTTATGCTGCATCAGCTTCCACAATTACCTTCTAATAGGAAGGTGGTCCTTCCTTGGTCATTTTATCTGAGCATTTGCTGCAGGTGGATTGGCAGCAAGGTTTTATTCAATCATACACGGTAATGTAGAAAGAGAGTCTCTGTATATTGGGGCTAGACCTTTAGTTTGAGACATCATCTGTGAACTGGAATTTTTGCTTCCTGTTTAATAAGAAACTGTTTAAAGCACAGTCCCTATTCGTTACAGGCATTATCTTGTTACTTCAAGACATTTCACATTGTTGGGATACACCACTTTATCATCTGTGTTTTCAAGCTGTGATTGCAGAAGGAAAGCAGCAGGAAAATAGTTCTATTTAACTGACAAAGGCAATTAGTCAGCAGGGATATAATTCTGCCCAGGAATGTCTTTTTGATTTGAATGGGACATATTTACCTTTGTAATGTGTGGCGCAGGGTTGTAATTGCTAAGTATCAGCATCCAGCTGACTAGTTCCAAAGCAGAGCTAGGAGAATAATTTGGCTGGAAATGCTAATAGCGAAATGTGCTGAGCTGATTTTGTGCAGGTAGTTGAACAGTTATTTGACCTCCTTCCCCCCATTGGTGGCACTTCGTCAACATTATTATGTAATTACAATAGCGCTGCATTGTAGAAAGTAAGTGGCAGCCCATTTCCAAACAGATTAACCTCAGAAAGCTCCGTCTGCTTGGTAAGAGGCGTTTCTTTGATCTTAATAAAATTAATGGTTGACCCCTTCAGCTTTCCTTGCATTCCCTGTTAGGCTCCCTGTATTGTTGAGGTATCAGCACAAGAGCTTGCAAACACATCTGGAGCATGTTATGGGTAATGGGTCCAATTTAACGGGCTCTGTCAGAGCACGCATAGAAGCCGTGGACCTGTCTCAGATGCAGCTGGAGGTGGGGGTGATGCTGGGCCTCTTTGGTCCACTTGCCCAGTGGTTATCATTGTTGCTGACAACTGGAGAAATTGGCACTTAGTCTTCTAACACTGTGAGATCTGAACCAGAGTTTTCCAGCTTTCACAGAAAGGCACTTTCAATAGGCAACAGGGTAGGATTTTCCTCAAGCCCTCTTCAGGAAGCTGTTCCAATGTGTTTGGAATAATTAAATATTGCTGAGGTGAGAAAGGAAGCTAGAGAAAAAGCACAACTTGGTATCCCAGTGGTAAAAGATTTCTTCTATGGCAAAGGACATCTGAGTGAGTCCCTTATTCCAGTTAATATTTGATATAAAACACTTAAAGAAGTTTTGAAGGATCCCATCTTGCCACTTCAAAGTAAACAGGCTGTGACACCAATCGAGCCCTTACACTGCAAGGAAGAATTCTTTCGACAAGAAGGATTTCCTCTGAGTACCCTTCAGCCTGGTTGGTAGAAAAATAACTCGGCAAATGTAAATTTATTTGGCTGCCAGAGAAAGATGGCAACTGAACCTAAAGTTTCTCCATGCCAGTGGTCTGAGCACTGAGATTCTTAGATACAAGACTTTCTGATATTTTTTAGCACAGGGCTAACATAGATGTCTCTAATCTCCAAAAATTATTAAAAATAGAGGTCCCAGCTGGACCTATGTTACTCTTGCTTAGGCTGCTAATCCCTGAAAAGGGGCAACTTGCTTGGTATTTACTACTGGTTGGAATCAGTTTCAGGTCTCATCTTTTTCTTCTGTAAATCACAACCCTGGATAAGTTGCCTGCTCTACATCAGTGCACTAGATTTTAGTAGGTGGCAAAATTAGCCCTGAAGTGGCCAGACAACCACTGATGATCATTGTAGGTCCCTTCCAAACATTCTATTCTATTCTATTCTATTCTATACTATTCTATTCTATTCTATTAATTGCAGTGTCTGAAACGTGGGGTTGCCTGCCTCCAGGACTCGCTGCTTACTGTAAAATAAGGCCATCTCTTAGTATAAGTATAGTACTGGAATGTCCTACTTTACTTATGCTAGAGCTTTGGATAATCTGACTGGCTGATCCTGCTGTTAAGGAAGAAATCAAGGTTGTGGCAAGTAATAATTGCTGCTGAAATCAGGCCGGCACCTCTCCGCTGCAGTAATTTGCTATTCATTGCATCCCCTTAGAGGTGAGTTGAGATCTTCAGAAATCTCCCCTAACTCTTCTTCCCAGCTCAGCTCCTTCCACTGCTACTTGCCTTTATTATGCTAGGGCTGATCAGTGTCTGGCTGGTCCCTGACTTGGGTTCCTAGGACAGTGCTTATCAGTCTTGACAACATTGCTATGCTGAACCCATCTCTAACAATTCAACTACCTTAAATGAAAATTCATGCAACTGAGCTGAATCCTGCCTAGTTCTGCAGTGACCAAACAACATTACTAGCTATTTGGCATCCATTATGAAACAGTATTAACCCATGTATTACTGATTTTCTGGCCATGGGACAAACAATGCTGCTGTAGCTGTGTAACACCGGTCTAAAACCTGGCTGGTGTCTCTGGAAAGAGCCGTGACAGCCCATGTTTCAGACCACAGATTGCTTTTTCCCCTAATGTGAGGGACAGGAGAATTTTGGAGAATGTTGTGCTTTCTGCATCGCTATGTCTGTATGAGGGTGGTAGTCCAGTGCAGGCTTGTCTGAGCAGCGTTCCTCTTCGTGGAAGAAATGTGCAAGCTGGAATACACCCCTAAAGGAGCAGGATGCAAGGTGGAATCCCTCAAGCAGAATAGCAGGCAAGTTGCCCTAAAGGTCACCATACCCTATGGTTATTTCCTGAAGAGCTGACATTCCTAAAATAATGATCAGGAAACGCCAGCAAAGCAGAATGATAGGAAAGCTTGTAATTTCTGCCTCACCCCCCACCCATTAGTTCCAGAGTGATGAGAAGGCACAGCTGGGAACAGGAACACTGCCTTTCAGTGAAGGAGATGCTGACAAGAGGTGCATTTCTCTGGCAATTCCTTAAATTCTGTGGCATGTGCATGATTATTTTGATGTAGGGGATGCTTTGAAGAGAGCTGATGCATTTCATGACAAGAGCCCTAGCAAGCTCTATGCAAAGCATGAGTAGCACGGGTCAAATTAATTGCACTAAAAGATGTCCTTTCACTTCAGTGGGCTTGGATTAGACCTTGCAGGGCTGGCAACTGATGCAGAACTGAGGAAGGATGTGTTAAAAATTACAATTAACAAAGTTATTTTGCAAAGATCAGAATGCACCTTTCTCACGTGAAAACACTGCCATCCAGCAGCTGGACATTGTTCTCTTTTCTCAGACATAATCTGAATGTGAGGGAAAATCAAACAGGACGGGTAAAATGTTCAGCATTAGCATGAGAGCTGGTGAGGAAATCTTAGTTGAAAACTTCTGGCTGAAAAAACAAAGCAACTGAAAACAGAATATTTTCTAGCTGAAAGCCATCTTGCTCCTAAACTGACATAAGGGGTTTTGAAACTTTTTATCTATTGTGTCCTTTCCAAAAGCTTTTTTACCTATGAGAGTATCTGTGTATCTGCAAGTGACTACCTCTATAAAAATGCTTAGTATAAATGTCAGAATGAACCCTCTCTCCCTTGACTCAGTCATGTGAGCCTCAGTTTGCATGGGTCAAACCAACTAATAAATATTTCGGGGCTTTACCTCATCTCCAAGTCTTCATTTTCTTGTGGTACAAATTTGTACAAGGCAACATAGGTGTTCATTTGTAACGTGCTTTTATAAAATGGTCCCTTTAAGAAAAAAAGAGAAAGAGAGAATGTAAATATCTGTCCTGTCCAGTAATTTGGTTCACTTTGTAGAGCCTGAGGAACCAGTGCCTGATCATCCAAGAAATGAGCCAGAATCATTTCATTGCTTTCATACATTAGAGGACTATGGCCCAGATACACTGTGAGCCACCAAGGCAGTAACTATCTTCGTTTAGAAGTAAGATTCTTTGAACCCAAAGATAAAATTCCAGACTTTCAAAGGACACAAGCAGAAATTTGCACAAGATGGTCTTTTGGGTGAGATCTTAAAAATGAATCTGCCTTTTGCTGTCTGTTAATGTATGACTCTTATGAGCCCAATAGTGCGTTACTGGCATTATATAAGGTAGGTGTCTATTATACAGTCCTCATTATGCATGGAGCTAGAGTTGTACAGTGCACAGGTCCAAAAACCAGAGTGGGAAAGTCATTTTCTTAAACAGAAAGTTGCTTGCACTGGGCATCCCACAGGGAAGACTGGCTACTCTCTCTCATCCCTTTCTCTACTGGTAATCTGGAGAAAAAAAAACAACAAACACCTAAACCAAACCCCAAATAATTTTCCAAATCAAATCTGTGATTTTTACGTTACTGCAGTTCTGTTATAATGACATGGCCTCCCCGCTAGATCTTTTGTGTTCACAATATCAATTTGTAATAAACAGAAGAACATAAAAGGGACCATAAAGGGTAAACCAGAGAGCCATCCAGTCCTGTATATTGCTTCCAACTGAGGCCAGTGGCCCAGAAATGGTATAAGAACATGACAGTCAGATCGATGCTTCTCCAGAACAGTGCCCCAGCAGACCTACTCAAGGTCCTCAGCTACCCATAAAAACAAGCCTTTTATATATGACTTCTCATTCCCATTGCATTCTCACAAGATTTATGCCCATACCGGGGAATGTATACTTTTTGGTTCTTCTCCAAAGTGTTCTGTGCCATTTTCGGAGTATGTAAACACTGAAATAAAGCAAACACATGACATTTTAGGAGTAGTTTAAAACTTCACCTCAACAGGATCACTTTTATTTTGTTAATTTATTCTCTTTCCCCCTTACTTTCTTTGATCCCTTGTGCTCTTCTCTGAACCCTTCTACACCCCCAACAAAACCACATGTGCCACTGGCACATGGCAGAAAACAATTTCTGTCCTGAAGAATTTACAATGGTAACAAATCAACCATTTTGATCAGATGAATACACACAAGTACAGCACTGGGAATAGAACCTAGGTCCCCTAATGGCATTGCTATTTAAAGTCCAGCAGTCTTTTCCTCATACTGAATGTTGTATTTTCATGTTTAGGATAAACAGTATTTCCATTTAAAAACACCTGCAAACCTGATGACCATATATAAGCAATATCGTGGGAAGTTTGTATGAAAACCCCTTCTTCCCACTCTTCGACCCTTTCTATAAATGTTTGATAGCCTTCTTTGATCTCTCTCTCCAGTAGTCCCTTCCTGGGGGGCACCGCATACGCTGCCTCTCTCTGATTTTATAAGAGGTACCTGAATTGCTTTCAAATTGGAATGGGTTATCTGAGACACAGGTCTGTATGTGTGACAATTTTCTACCAAGTTACTAAATCAGAAACTCGTAGAATAAGACAACCGTCACAGCACCAGATCATAGAATCATAGAACCATAGAATACCAGGTTGGAAAGGACCTCAACAATCATCTGGTCCAACCTTTCTTGGCAAAAGCACAGTCTAGACAAGATGGCCCAGCATATTGTCCAGCTGAATCTCAAAAGTGTCCAGCGTTGGGGAATCTACCACTTCCCTGGGGAGATTATTCCAGTGGCTGATTGTTCTCATTGTGAAAATTTTTCCTCTTGTGTTCAATCAGAGAGTCCCCAGGGGTAACTTGTACCCATTAACCCTTGTATTTCCATGTGACTTCTTGTAAAAAGGGAGTCTCCATCTTCTTTGTAGCCACCCTTTAAATACTGGTAGATGGTGATGAGATCACCACTGAGCCTCCTTTTCTCGAGGCTGAACAAACCCAGTTCTCTTATCCTTTCCTTGTATGCCAGGCTTCTCAGTCCTTTGATAATATCTGTGGCCCTTCTCTGGACCCTCTCTAGCCTGTCTACATCTTTTTTGTATGGTGGGGACCAAAACTGAACACAGTATTCCAGGTGTGGCCTGATAAGTGCTGAGTAGAGTGGGATAATGACTTCTTTATATCTGCTGGTGATGCCCTTGTTGGTGCAACACAGATCCTGTTGGCTTTCTTTGCTGCAGCAGCACACTGCTCGCTCAAATTGAGCTTGATGTCCACCAGGACCCCCAGGTCCTTTTCCACAGAGCTGCTCTCCAGAAGGATAGATACCAGCCTGTGCTGCACTCCTGAATTATGTTTTCCCAGGTGCAAGACCTTATACTTGTCCTTCTTGAACTTCATAAGGTTCTCATTAGCCCACTCTTCCAGCCTATCCAGGTCTTCCTGTAGGGTGGTTCTCCCTTCCAAAGTGTCCACCTCCCCACTCAGTTTGGTATCATCGTCAAACTTCATCAGTTGATCCCGATCACTTATGAAGATATTAAACACCATTGGACCCAATATCAATGCCTGGGGGACCCCACTTCTGACAGGTTGCCAGTTTGAAAGGAACTATTTACCACCACCCCTTGGGTGTGGCCTGTCAGCCAGCTCCCCACCCACTGCACAGACCACTAGTCTAGACCGTAACGCATCAGTTTCTCTAGGACAAGGCTGTGGGAAACCGTATTGAATGCCTTGGAGAAATCCAAATAGACAATGTCCACCGCTTGCCCCACATCAACCGAGCAGGTTACTTTGTCATAGAAGGTGATCAGGTTTGTCAAGCATGATTTGCCCTTAGTGAAACCATGCTGGCTTTTCCCAACCATGTGCTTCATTTGACTTGTGATAGCCCCCAGGAGGATTCATTCTGTAACTTTCCCAGGGACTGAAGTAAGACTGATGCGCCTATAATTCCCTGGATTCTCCTTTAAGCCCTTCTTATAGAATTTGACCTAACATACCTGATATCTAATCAGTTACCCTCTACTGTTATTGCTTCATGAGCTGGCTGATGCCTGTCCCCAGTTATCTCCCTAGAAAAAACACAGTGGCTTTATTACATTGACTGAATTCCCCTTTCACATTTTAAAGATTGCCTGATGTACCCTGCTTCTGAATAAAGTCTGAATATGGTTTTAATAGCCAGAGTCTTTGAGCAGCTAGAACCATTGGCATCTTCTCCCACTATTTACCTCTGCAGGTCTTTTGAGCAGAAGTGGATTTTGTAGTCGCTAACAATTTAGAAATCTCCAAAATGGTAATAAGTAGCAGGCCGACTGAGTGCATTTTCTTTTTGTTTCTCTGTGATACAGTTACATGTGTTCTGGGCAACACCAAACTGCTGAGTTTCTTTCCCCCTCTGCTCTTTCACTTGCTCACCCTCTATTCAATTAACACATATTTCTGCGGCTATTCTACATTGTAAATGACAACCAAACAAAGAGTCTTTGACGAAATTTTATCAGTTAAATAATAGGGTTCCTTGATAGTAGAGAGCTGTACCTAGACATTGAAAAAATATACTCTTCTTGTAACAGAGGAAAGGTAGCTAAAAAGGCAGCCCCAGCATGCACGAGAGAGATTTTGTACAGTGACACACATCCACAAGCCCACACAAGCACATGCCCTCTGATAAAATGTAAGGCAATTGTAGTCATAAAGTTCAACATGTGAATGTGAAGACAACATGTGACCTGATACCTGCAGCATTTAACCTGAAAATGCCCCAATTTGTGTCCAGGTGGTCTGACTGCAGCTGGCCTGGGGCCTCACTGGCTGCCTCACCAAGTTCTGTTGTAGAGGGACTCTGACCCTGCGAACTGTCACGAGTATCAGAGGAAAAACCTTAAAAATAAAATTATTTTCCTGTATCTTCTAGTATAGGGGTATATGTTCTTCTGACATCTGTATAAAGGGATGTAGAATCCTGTCATTGCAATCTGACAATGTTCAAGTCCTACTCAAATTACTATGCTTGGTTTTTTGTGTCCAGAGAAAAAGGAGTTAGAGAGGCAAATGGAAAAAGTTCTAGTGAATAATGAATTGGGTAACCAGGAACATTTTGGGCTTGCGGAAATTCATTCACCAGACAAAGTGGAAGTATTTCAGCAGCATGTTTGGAGTAATTTCTGCTTGGTGACAGAAAATAAAGCCAAGTTACTAATGTGCAGCCTTGTGAGCTGTGGAGCTGACCCAGCAGGTGGAGAGGGAGCTGGACTGTATCCTTGTGTTTGCCGAGAAGTGCTCACCGAACCTGGGTTTGCAGGGAGGGCATCCCGTATTTGACTCAAGGGGAAAATGCTCAAATCCCTGTTGAGAACAGACTCATAGATGTCACTTAAAGTACATTTTGGCTTGCAGGACTTCTGTTATGGATGGTAATTCACAGCAGTGAAGGAGTATAACTGGCTTAGAGGAGGCTGAAGGGCTGGAAATTAGGTATGCCATCTTACAGTTGTAAACTAGGAAGCTTTGTTTCGTAGTAAGTATGCCAAGGCCTAAATAAAAGAATCTTCCCTTAAAGTTGTTATAGAAGTCTATAGGAACGATTATACAATCACACATGTGCTGCGTCCTTTCACCTTTCTGCAGGCTGTGTCTTTTCCGCTGATTCCCTTTAAGCAAAGAGCCTCAAACATACATTTTCCTAAAATCTTATTTGCAGAAGACAGATTTTAATGGGGAAAAAAATTAAAAAGAACTGGAATGGACCTGATTCATCAAGACATTAGTGTGGAACTGTCTGCTAAAGGGGCATGGACAGCTGAGGAAAAAGGAGCAGTGAATCACCCTGTAACAACATTCTGTATTTACTTTGTTAAGTTTTTAATCTCTGTCTAGCTTAAGTTTTTAATCTCTGCCTAGCTCATGGTCTCTGGATATTACTAGGAGGCACTTGAACCTGAAGGCCATAGAGGTATGTAGTTCACATCTCCACACAACAGCAGTCCATCTATTTTCATATTTGTTTGCCCCAGCAGCAGCAGACCAAAAAAAAGAAAAAAGAAATAGCAGGGATTTTTTGCAGTCTGAAAAGGATTTTACCATTTCCATAGCTTGTGCAAACAGCGCGGGCAGTTTATTAAAAATCTACCAAGGGGAAATTTTTGGAGTGACTGATGCATAATTTATAACCCTGAGCCTCTGAAGGATAGATTGTAAAAAAGCCAGTGCTGATCAAAGGAATAGTTAATGTGCCGTGGAAGTTATTTGGAGGTTTGACACATGCTGAGTTTTTAAACTAATCTCTTTGAGTAAGTTCCTTGAATGCCTTTCAGTGCATTTAGTGAATGCAGATCTCAGAGAAAAAAGTTTCTTTGGGTTTCAGAAAAGAAACTACTGATTGACAACGAAATACAAAGTTATCTGAAAACTCAAACAGGGCCAAATTAATCTCAGGTGGGCAGGATTAAACAATGTGAAGCAGGCTGAATTCTTTTTCTTTAGTCAGGTCAGGTCAACTTGCACTTGCAAGACAGAAAACCTAAAAGAATTGTCAGGAGAAAGCAGATAACATAGATGGGATGTTCACAGAATGAGAGGGAGGAAATGACTGAACACAGAGAGAAGTGCTAGGACCAGGAGGAGAGGAAAGGAATAAAGAGGAAGCATAAAATGGGAATGGAGAGCTGAAGCTGGCATTTCACCTACCTGAATTGCTAGCAGCATGTAAGGAGCACAGGGGCAGGGGGTCTAACAGAAAAAAACCCTATGCTCACTGTGTTTTATTTTTATAGTGTACATCTTGTGAAATCCAGCAAAGCAGCCTTCAGGTACTGTTGGAGAAGTTGCTCTGATGGTTTGGGCCTGAACTTTTGCTCAATGCTCCAAATCCCTTTGTACTTATTACTTCCCTCACCACAACTGAATTCAAGAACAGGGTCACAAACACTGTCCCTCAGTGGCTAAGCTCTCAATTGGTAAGATGGTCTCAAAATCCCATCACACCAATGCTGTAAAAACATTACTCTTGTGCAAGCAGACAAAAGAATTGGGCTATTAATATTACTGGGCACATACTATAATTATATTGAGAAGCTGCAATTATAATCAGGATTCATTGTGTTGGATGTTCTACAGACATATGGATATTATACGATTCTTTTCCTGTCCCAAAGAGATTATGATATATAGAGACATGTGGACAAGTCAAACATATGGAAGAGAAAGGAAGTATTATTTTTGTTCCACTCTGCCACTGTGGAACCGAAGCATGTGAAGTGATTAGTCTACAGTCATGTTCACGAAGTGTAGGAGACTGGGAATAGACCTAAACCTTGTCATAGATCCACAGAATCATAGAATCGTTTAGATTGGAAATCAAGATCATCAAGTCCAACCGTTAACCTAACACTGCCATCCCACCACCAAACCATGTCCCTAAGCACTTCGTCTACCCATCTTTTAAATACCACCAGGGATGGGGACTCCACCGCTTCCCTGGGCAGCCCGTTCCAATGCTTGACAACCATTTCATTGAAAAAAATTTTCCTAATGTCTAACCTAAACCTTCCCTGCGTCAGCTTCGGGCCATTTGCCCTCATCCTGTGTCAGGTCTGGACACAACAAATTAAGAAAACTAGTGGCTTGGATTTAATCTGACTGGCAAAAAACATTCCCCAAATTCTTGCACTGACTACATGCCCCACTCACCTCCCACTCAGAAAACCAGAATGCTGCTAAAACATGGACATGCCATTAAAAACCCCATCTGAAATAGGTTGTACACAGGCCTATACATCTGAAGATGCTATCCTGGCCTGGCAGCACTCACCGCTATTGCTGCGTTTCCTGCTTATGTCAAGGGTGCCTGCAGAGCTATCGCCTTCCTCAGGAACTTCTGCCAGGTCAGCTGTCTGCAGGGGATAGAAAAAGCAAGTGAGATGGGATGAGCCAGAAAAAGCAAGCGATGAGGTGAAGTAAAACCACACAAGAGCCTTTGGGAATGTAGTACTTAGGTGCTATGAGAGCAGAGCAAGTCAGCCTCGTGGGATTGCAAAAAACATTGTCTCTGGCGATGCACAACAAATACCTACTTCACAGGGAGCAGTGAAAGACCAGAAAGAACTCCAGACCAAGTTTACGGTCTGAAGTACAAAAGATTTCTGCAGTATAAAGTGAAGTGGAAATTAAGGAACAAAGGATTATATTAAACAATGTGGTTCTCTGTATAAAATAGAAGGGGCTTGGGGGAATTTGTGGATCCTGCAGGTATACTAAATAGCTGTCTACCAAGGAGACTGGACATTGAGTCAAACTATTGACTATTAATTTGTTAACCCTGAATACATTATTCAGTAAAATAACTGTAATGTAAGGGTGATTTTACTTCTGTTAACATGCTGTGAAAGAAGGAGCTGGACTGTGATGGAGTTGGTGAAGTCAGTCTTTAAATATCTGCCCTTGCTTTCTTTTTAAACAGTCATCTGGATGGTATGGTTAGGGAAAAATGAAACCCAAATATTGTTATTAGAATTACCATGATTTCTTATTTGTACCATGTTGATGTCAATCATCATTAGGGACCCATTGTTCTAGGGTGTAGGAAAACATGGGGTGACACAATCCCAAGCCTCAAAAGTATGCTCTGCACAAGGCACCGGTTTCTTTGGTTGGGTAGTTGGCTTCTCCATGTATAGCCCCACAGGAACCAGGACCTGCTCCAAACAACTCTGTCCAAATCTGACCTCATGGAGCTTCAGTTTCTGAACTCTCCACATGTGACTTTTTTTGGGTAAAACATCTTTTATATCCATAAAACCCCAAACATTGAACTTGAGTCAGGTGCTCTCTCTAATCTGAAAAACTGTAAGTCTTTGTATGCTCCTAAGCTTTATTTATTTTTTTGTTAAGAGGATTTTAAGACACAGGGAAGGATTGAACTTAATTATTCCATGACACTCTAGAATGATACTGTACATATAGCTCTGCCTATTGCTTTGCAGACCTTTGCCTGTGTTACAGGAAGAAAAGACAAACGAGGAACATTCACTGCCTTTGTTCAGGGAGCACAAAATCTGAATTGTGTTACAGATTTTTATGTGGTTTTTTCCCTTTTACTAGTGTTGACAACAAAGCTTTTTTTTAGAAAGTACTTTGACAATTTTATTTCCCCTATCTAGTACTTTCCTAGCTACTTCTCCATCCAAGGATACTAATGAACAAAAAGGTTAAAAGTAGATTTATGCCACAGGTATCTTCTGGCTATCTTGTTTCCCTTGCTATTTTAAGAGCCTTCTATTTTACTGCTCTGTTATGCCTTGGTTTTAGACTTCACCTTCTGCAGCATTTCATGCTTGTCTTGCGTTGTGCACAAATGGGTCACCCCTGGATGAGGAGGCACTGCAATAGCAATGCTAACATGGAGTCAGTGTAGAGCATATTCAAGGATTTCTAGTTGCTGAATGCGGAAGGGAAAGACTGGCTTTGTTGAAATAGTAAGTCCCAGCTATTTTCCAGCTCATTGCTATGGTGTGTTCCTCAGGCTTCTTAGACTAGCTTCATAATTGCTGATTAGCTTCATATTTTATTGGGTACTACTGCATATGGGATGTGCAGTGACTGTCTCTTCAGTATATACCTCATCCAAAACCTCCTGAAGTAGCCTCAGTTACCTTTAATGATTTTTCAGTCAAGTGCTGTATGACAAATAGTTTAATAGAAATTATAGAGGTACAAAGCTGCTTTTGAGAGGAGCTGACCACAAAAATCTAACAAGAACTGGAATCACATTTACATCACCTCAAGTGACTTTACATATAAATGTGGGTTGCAGAAGCACATTTTTGAAGGAAGCAGTAGGTAGTAAATCTGGAGCATATGGCTGCTTTCTTTTATGGGAAATGCAGAATCCAGGCTGAAAAATCGCGGTGGGTGCATCCACACTGCTCAGTCATGTTAAAAATATCTTGGCTAGTTCAGAGCAAGAGGGTTATCACTGCTCTGTGCAGAGACATGAACTGCAATCCTGGAAGTTTCATGGCTGTAGGGGCAGGGCACAGCTTCTAGGCCAGTTACCTTTGCTTTTAACTAC